AAAATTCGGAAAATTTTGAAACTTCAAAGTAACATGTCAGTTAAATTTTTCGTTTCTATTTACATTGCGATTATATTTGATAATTATGTCAGTTTGTAATTTCATTGTTGAACGCAATAACATAAATGTAACCTGTTACAATTTCAATATATTCCTTTTTTCATACACAAACGTTGTTTTATGTTGATATCCAAGTTTGACCTCTTTTTTTTATACTCTTCATGAAATCGAACGCCTTGCGAGCGTGTTTTGTCTTACTTGATGTCAGTGAAATGGTGAAACATACTAGATTCGTTCATGACAGGAGCTTCGAAGGGAACATCACAGGCGAATAACTTCACTCGGTCAGATGTTGCGGCGCCGTGATGCCGACTACGGCGACTGAAAAAATGGGCTCAGTCTGGCCTTGCACGGCTTCCTGTCACAACCGTCTGTTGCGCGCTTTTGCCGACAGGTTGCGACAAGGAAATTTCTTGCATTGGTCAATGCTGGTTCCTCGCAAGGAAAAGGTACGGTTTATATGAAAGAGTTTCCAGAAGACGTTTCCGACAATTAAATACAAGACTGTCACCACAACCGATTTGCCTTTTCGAATGTGAATACAAAAAAAAAAAAAAAAAAAAAAAAAAAAAAAAAAAAAAAAAAAAAAAAAAAAAAAAAAAAAAGATCCCTATCAAGTGGTCATATCACATTTACTTTTAATTAATGAAAGCTCGATTCAATATTGAATACTTCGTTTTTAATAAACAACTTCCATACCTTATTAATAGGTTCAAAAAGAAACTATAAGAAGAACAAAGGAAAGAATTATAATTATATTTTGGTCTGCAGAAAAAATGAATTGCACCCTGATCAACAGTTTTGTTGGCAAACATGAAAAAATGAAAGAATATAACAGATACTTTCAATTGTTTTTATAAAAAAAATGGAGGAAAATACATCAAATATTGAGCAAAAGTAACAAAATTAAAAAAGAACGGAGTACAATTATGATAGGGGCATTGCCATTACAGTACGCCTAGAAAGTTTTTGGAGAGAATTGGGTCACTAGAAACAACAGAAGCCCCGTGATGTGAATTGAAAAAAAATATATATTTTCTAGAGACATATTTTCTATATAGAAAAGATGTTTCAATTATTTATAATAAAATTTGTCAATAATATCAATAAATAAAACAATAAAATTAATTTTAGAAAACACTTAGAGCAATGCGAGAGGGAGCGTAGTGGGTATCTCTATTATGTATAACTGTTTCTTTCATTTGAAAGTTCTAGAGGAAAACTGTTATGCATTTTTTAAGTTTATAAGTTCCACTGCGTAAATGTGCAAATAAATTTTTACTTTCCCGTATACGTAAGCTATTTTGTCAAAAACTGCTCTAAATGTTTTCTTCAAACTTTTTGAGCAGATAGTGCTTATAGCACTCTTAAAAAAAAGTACTCCAAAATGAACATTACATTTTAATTTTTTCAAAAACTACACAAATGTGATTTTTTGAAAGATCATCCACACCATTAATGTGAACATTTCCTACCATTTGTAAATTCTATTGTATTTGTGAGTTAATGTGTTTCAAATGACGTTTAATCAAAACTTTCGAAAAATCAAAAATTTTCTGTGAAAAAGGGCTTTAAACTTTGAATTTATCATAGCTTTTAAACACCATTTTCTTATAAACGGCTCAACATTTTTGAAAGAAAATTGCCATTTTGTGCGAGGTTTACTGTTCTTTAATATTCTTTAAATAATATTTTCGTTCTACTATTACGAAACCCAAAAAGTACGAAATTTTTAAAAATATAAACTTTGAACAGACGGCAACTGCCAAGAGTATGTGGCAAGTACCTGCTTCAGTGGCCAATGCTCCAAAAACAGCTGGGCGACAGTCGTAAATAGACTGTGTATAACAGATGGCTAAAATGTCTGTCGAATCTTTTTTTTTTCTGCTGAGAAACGAAATTCTCAACTACAGCAAAGCCGCGCATAGTTTTTAAATGTAGTGATAAATTCATGGCGATGTATGGCAAATAGCGATCTGTAAAGGGTATTGTTATTTATTTAATTATAAGGTTTAGTTTTTAATTAAACATTTCTTTATGAAATTTCCATGGCGTGCGTTCTTTCGGGATACACACGTAAGCCCGAATTGCTTCCTGGTCAAGTAGCTTCCTGTTGGCGTTCACTGATCAACTTTTAGGATTACATTCAAAATTACAAGACAGCTACGTAGAGACAGGCAAGTCCCAAAGCCGAGTTTTCGAATGCTGAAAACCCGTTGTAGAAACCACGGAAGACTCCCGTTTAGAACAGTCGGCTGCCGGAATTCTCCTCCAGTCAGAGACTGCATTTGACCTAGCTGACAAGTCAGAAAATCTTGCCACTGATAGGTCTCGAACCTACAACCTCCCGGTCAAAAGTTCTGCAGTGACATCTGTTGATGGACTGGGCCACCACCTCTCCCGGTTCATGTTGCATTATAGATCAGCAATTTTTTCATACTCATTACATGAAAAGAACTGTTTTCCTGTAGGTATTCGATACTGCGCTTTTGCAATATTCGTGAATATTGTTTGTTATATTTAAATTATTGCAGTGTTGGGCGAAAGTATTTTATTTGCTCATATTAAACACGCTGTGCGCTACTTTTTGGAAAACCATTTTGAGTGATTTCGTTCAGCAGCATTCTTGCTGCTTCAAACAACTAACGAAACATAATTCAAATGTACATCGTTTATTAGAAAACATCGAGCATTTTCGTATGAAACACTGCTCTTCGCGATATTTGGAGCACGCTTTGTGGTTTCTGTGTTGACCACCTTCAGGATGTGGAGGGGGAGTGAAAGCGGCGTCACCGGAAACTGCCAGCGACGGCAAGGGCGCCGGGATTCCTGGGGGCGAATAGCACGTGGAGACGCAGAAAATTTGAATATTTAAAAAAATGAATAATGAAGTTAAATAAAAGAAATTACCTAGCAAAACAAAATAAAACACGTGAATTAAATTTCTGAGATAATTTTTTCACAAATAGCAAATAAGAAAGGTCCGCGCGCAACAAAATAAATAGAGAGTGTGCGACTTACGTAGCTCTAAAGGCATTTACAAAATATTTCCAATGCTTTTTACTAAAAGTTAATGAAGGAGCGGGAAAATCAACGCAAAAATATACCACTTGCATTTCGGAACTTTTTACCTTCTCGCATATTACATTCAAAGCATAGATAAATATTTTCAATGCTGTGGCAAAAATGGCAATTTTTCGAATGGAAAACTCTTACTTTAGGTTCCCATCACCGAAAACGTGGATAATTCTTGTTCCCGCATGAACAAACTGACAACGATGTTTTCTCAAGAATGGCTCAAATTTTTTGGACGAGAACATACATGCTTTACTCTTCTGACTTATTCTTAAATTTCAATTGCACTATTAAATGACCTACAAGTTCAGAAAATGTGAATAAATGTGTTTTACAGGCTGCTAGCAACTGGGAAGAGGGTGGGGCAATAGCGAAAAGCTAGCCTACACTAAAGAGATTAGAAACGTAACTAGTTCGAGAAAGTATGTGCCATTCTGTCACTACGAGTTCGAGTGTGTAAAAATATCACTTTCATATATTGTAAATGAAAATCAAATATTTATTTTACTTGAGAGGCAAATGAAATTTAAACAAAATTAATTTATTTTCTAATTGGAAAATTAGTTTGCCTGGTTGACACAGGTTTGTTTCATCAATGCAAAAAGTTTTAAAACAATATACTTTCATTCACTGCTTATTGAAATAGTAAATTAAATAGATGAAAAATGTGTTTTAAAATATAATATTACTTAAAACGTAATAAATAAAATATCACTACAATGTTTACCACGCAATTTTAAATTTAATATAACCGATATATTAAAATTATAATTTAGTTTCATTGTAATAATTAATATATTGCTTATCATTAATTTAGTTTCAATGTGATCCAAGTACTATTCCCGTTTTTGCATTTGTTTTATTTTAAAAGATAAGACAAGAATGTGTTGTTATGAATAGTGTGATTTGACAGGTATAAATAAGTGAACTATTATTTAGAATGAATTATTGTATTTCTCATTTGAGAAATTGCTTTCTCTTAATTCATGAGAAACCGTAATTCAAACCTGAAAATACTTGAGAGATGACTTCAGAATGAACTTCGTCAGTAAAAAGTAACAATAACAACAGTTTATTTTTTCAACAAATTTAATGACATATCACAGACCGTAATAGATGAAAACAAACTTTCAGTCAAACTATGTAATTTTCATTATACCCTAGAACAATTACACAATGTGTGGACTGCCACCTCTTATCGAACAAGAAATCAAGAACAACTTCTTATTTCTAAGCATGTGTTTTTTAACAATTTTGTATTGCACAAGACTTTGCTTCATAAATATTCATGGAAAACTAATTTAGTAAATTATTAAAAGCTCCCGATTCCATTGAGATATATAAACTTAACATAATTGTACTCATAAGAAGAATCGAAAAATACCCAACAAGAGATCATTTATGGTAGAATTTTTACAGATTTTTTTGGAGCTGCTCTTTTTCACAACAAAAGAATCGACACTAGTAGAAAACTGGTATGTAATAGAAACTAAAACTACTCAAACAATTTATATACTCCTTTCATCTAAATCAAATGTATGTCCAATGTAGTCATTCTTATCACAATTAAATCAAAGCTAACTCATTTGTTCATGTTTTGGTTGATTTTTGTTTTCATATATTTTTGTGGTTGCAGTCTTTTTCAAAGCTTTGTACTCCTAAATAAGAAATACACTCTTAAAACCATTAAGTTCATAATATTCTTATATTGAACCATGTCACATTGGTATAGAGAAAAATGCATTCAGAATCTAAATAATAAATGCTGAAATGAAAGTACAGAAAAATATGAAGGCCTTTTTGTATTCAACCTGCAAAGGAAACGAAATTATCAATCAAAAAATCACTCATTAATATATTTGGTCTTTTAAATGTTACCACAAAACTCATAGGTTTTTAATAGAATATCGTTTTGAATTGTCAAGAAAATCAGTCAATATTGACGTTGCAGAGAACTGTTGCACAGGAGTTATCTATTTAAATTTAGGCCCATTTTGTTAATGAAGTAAGAAACACATTGAACCACCTTCTGATACACAATTGAACATATATACAGATTCTTCAGATATCAGTTATACGGTCTTAAACATCCAGGGGCAAAATCCACTTTAATTGTATGCCTACTTAATAAAACTTTCCATTATTACATTCGATAACCTCATCTCAGTATCAGCCATTTTAGTTTCATATCTCAATAATTCTCTTAGACATATGTCCAAATACTACTAATGTTCATCAACAATGATTTTCATTTCAATCAAACATTTCATGTTATCATTAATTCTTAAAGCTCACACGCTACATTTCGATGAAAGTAATATCTTCGGAGAGGAAACACAGCAAGCGTGAATTGCCAAAATCCTATTCAAAATGGCAGAATTTTAACTCATTCAGTTCGACTAGGCTTAGAAATGAATATGTGTGCGCAGGAAAATATATTTTGTTACAGGCAGCCAACCAATTTGATGTACGTAATAAATGCATTACACAAAGTACTCTTACATTGAAATGAATATGAACTACTCTGCGACACGTTACAAAGTTCACGCCGCACTTCTCTTGACCATTAGATGGCAGTTTGTTTTATTACAAACGCCAGTAGCACGATGCTCAATAATACCTGACCATCTCAGATAAACATCACACATCTAGAGCGATGCAATTTTTGGAAGGAAAATCCCCTCCGATCAGAGGGGGATCTTTGTCTTTGACGAAGGCCACGGTGGCCTTGTCGTCGATGGCGGGGGCGAGGTTTGGTGGGAGGGCGGGCTTGGGAAGGACGGGAGTGGAAGGGCCGTGGCGGGACGAGCGCCTGATGGGGGGCCCCAGCGCCGCCCGCAGACGCCGCCACGCTGCCTCCTCCGCCCCCTCGGCGCCACGCCCGCAGCACCCGCCCGGCGCGCACCCCGACGGCCACTGCAGGAAGGTGCGCGTCTCCACCAGCAAGCGCAGCAGGCGCGGCAGGGCCTTGGCGTCCAGCGGCTGCAGCTCCACCAGCACCAGGAAGTCCCGGCCGGCGCCCTCCAGCAGGCGGTGCGTCGCCATCTCCAGCTCCCACTGGCACCACTAAGCATACAAGACCACATCAACTCCCCAGCAGGCGGTGCGCCGCCATCTCCAGCTCCCACTGGCACCACTAAGCACACAACACCCGCATCAACGCCCCAGCAGGCGGTGCGTCGCCATCTCCTGCTCTCACTAGCACCACTAAGCACACATGAGTCACATCAACTATACAGTAGGTGGCGCTTCGATAACTACATCATCCAGTCTCACCACTGTCCACAAAAGGCACAAATCAACTATGATCACAACTCTTCAACAGGCCGAATGTCACTATCTCCAGTATAAACTCTCGTCACTAAGCCTTCACCAAGGCATAAATCAACTAATTTCACAACTATCCAGCAGACAAGCGTTGCCATTTATAGCCCGCAGCATCTTCTCGCACCACTTGGCGAACACCACGGGCACAGAAACCACATTCACACTCCAGCAAGCGGTGTGCCGGCTACTACTGAAATGCAGCCACATGTTCGCAACTCTAACTACTAAAATACAGCAAATAATATGTAAATACATCATCACAAACAAGTCTATCATTTAATATCAACGAGATTTTCCAGTTCCCCGTACACAAAAGACCTTCGGAGGTGAGTCTGTGCTATTTGTACTTCAACTTGCATAGTATATGTGATTCCTGATTTTTAGGTATATCCATATGCACTTGTTCTCCTAAAGTAAAAACATCCTCTTTGCGGCAAAACCGGACTTTACCTTCCGAACTCCTGTACACAAAACTTAGCCTAATAATAATGTGAGTTCGTGACATCAGCAAACTTCGTTATCGTCATAATAAAATCCCTACTTATTGGTAATAAGTAATATTTTTGTATCTTTATGCCCCTTAAGTTAATAACATCTATGGTGTGACACTATTTATTATGTTAACGAGGACAATTAAGGGGAGTGTTTAACATTGACGTTTATTGAAGTCTTATCAAAAGCTTACCGAGCTATCTACATTTGAGTCCAAAACTACGAGCGTGTCTACGTTTTCAACAAGTGCGGGTGCAGGATCACGAGAAACGAGTTCTTTGGACATGCCATTGAGTGAATCTGGATGCCAGCTATTTGTCATCAGCAGTGAGGCCTTCGTAAAACGCCAGTGAGCGTACCAGGATCCCTAGCAACGTTGGGTCACAACAATGAGTTCTTTGAAGCGCTAAAAAAGTACTTGGTGGTAAAATATGATTAACGGATTATATAAAAGAGCGTACCTGGCTGCCGACGAAGGCGTGTGTGAGGAGCACCAGGAATGGATTCTTTGCCAGAGCCAATGAGCGAAGCTGGCCGCTGACGAAGGGGTGTGTGAGGATCGTGAGGAGCCTACCTGGCTGCCCACGAAGGCGGGCGTGAGGATCATGATGGTGTGTCGGCTGCGCGCCATGCACTCCACGATGTTCTGCACGATGAGGGATCCAAGGGGGAAGTCGCGCTCGTGCAGGCACAGGCGGTAGCGTGGGTTGCTGCCCTCCAGCCGCGGCAGCAGTTCGCCCAAAACCCACGGACGGTCGTGCTTGCTGCAGACATAAAAAAGGATTTTCGTCCTCCGTCATGACATATGACTTCTCTGTGCACCTCGTCGAGGTGTGGTTACTGATATTCATGCTTTCTTTCTCCTATTCCTCTGAGCGAACCTTACTGTTACATCATAATGTATTACCAACATCTCGGAGAATTTCGAATTAGTTTTTTCAAACAGCAAGTAGCAAAAATATCTTAATGAAAATACAATATATATTGATAATAAAAGGTGAAAGAATATTCACTTTCACCAAGATGTCACCAAGTGACCACCTTGTTATTGCTGTTTTATTGTGAAAGGTATAGTCTGATTGTAATTAAATTTATTTTCAATAAGTCAAGGTTTTTTAAAATTATAATTCAACAAAGTTTAATGAAAACTTGTCACATAATTAATATGTGTAAAAATTAATGTAGAGATAAAGTATGATGGAAACATTTCCTGCTAGTCTGTGTATTTTGACTAATACACAAGTACAAAATTGTATTAAAAAGTAGTGTGATGTTTTTGGCTTTAGATATTTCTATGTCAAATCGAATCCATTACGGGAAATAAGAGGATAAATATATCAATCTCTCATTCCACGTCACAGGTTAAGTCTTTTTTCGCAGTGCAGTATTATTTGTTATACCAATACCACAATACTCTCCCGAAATCGTAATAATCGCTGTAGTTAGTATGTTAATAGCATTATCTTTCCTTTGTAAAATGCGGGGCTCAGGAATATTTGTGTAGTTCCGAGCCTTGCACACGTGTTTAACTCCTCAATCAGGGAACTGGCGGAAAGAAAATTGTGTGGGATACTTTGGTGTTAGTGCTCGTGTTAAAAATGTGGGTTGTGTATGATGGCGTGTATGATGTATGTAGCGGTGTATGATGATCCTTATCACTATTTCTTAACTACTGCTTATAACCAGCAATCATGCCATCGATTTAGTAAAACTGTTTTATCTGTGAAAAATATTTGTACATTGTCAAAAACACGAAAATGAAGTTCGGAATAGTATCACCGATGTAAACTTAGCCTGCGTATTCAATAAAGGTCACGACAATTTGAACCAGTTTTGTTTTACTCTCACACAAATTCAAAAGAGACCTCTTTCTCTATAGGAATAAAACTGAAAAAAAACTAAATAACAACGTAAATCATTAAAAATACATAATAAGTAGCAATAGCGCACATGTGTAGGCAGAAACAACGGCATACAGATAGCTAGCTTGAAGCGTAGTTGTAAACTTTAAAACAAAATTCATAAAGTGGATACTTTCTTGTATGTGATGAAATCATTAAATGATAATGGCTTATGTAACTTTAGTATAATTATACAAAATATTTGTTTTGTCATGGGTTCATGACCACCTCCTTCTCTTAATCCATCACGAATCGGCATTTCTAACACACTTCACTCGCCGAATGACCCACTGGGTTATAGATGGCAGTATTTATCTACAAGCAAAATAAAGCTACTCTGAGGGACCTGAGAAGTAATAATAAAAATATTCAAAAATGTAAAAAATTGTTTGCATCTCTAAAATAATTGTATATCAAATAGTTAACTGTTCTAAAATGTTATAATTGGAGGTAAATGTAGAGGGTGTCTCTGAATGGTGAGGTCCGAGCCTGTCTGCCAACCTAGATGGCAATTTTCATGGGGAATCCCCCACCCCCAATAGTTCACCAAATAGGTTTTTGTTTTTGGACACAACGCGGATCCTGAATGGGACCTTCACAAGGGGAGATGAGCATCGGCAAATTGACTAATTTCATTCCATGGATAATTCGGGCATGCTTTGCCATTAGCACCGTTAGTGTACTGAATGAGTTTTGCGCCTGGGAGTGGCCGTGTTCTTCGCTGGATGGGGAGACATTCTCCCTCCGGGTGTTTCGACAAGGTCTTTCAAAGAGACATCTCCGACCAGAGGGCCACCTCCCCGGCAAGAGCGGAGGTGTCGTGCATGTGTGTGCGTGTAAGGGGAAACAATGCGACCAGGAAGAGGAAAGAAAGTTGGCTCGCGGTCCAGGGCCACGCCGGCATTCCCTGTGGCAGGAGCGCCTCACCTGTAGCAGACGAAGGCGTCAAAGTCGCTCTGGGCCCCGCCGGCGGCGCCCGCGGCGCCCTGGACGGAGCGCTTGGCTCGCAGCACGTGCACCACGTAGGTGAGCTCGAGGCGGAAGCGCAGCGACAGCAGCGCGATCGCGGCGGCCGCCAGCAGCGCCCCCACCACCACCGCGCCCCCGACCGCCGCGCCGCTCCAAGCTGGGGCGGCGGCGCCACTGCGAGGCCGGCGGGCCCGGCCCGCCACCAGGCGCGCGCCCCGCCCACAGCGGCGGCTGCGAGCACTGCGGCGGCCGCTGCTCGCCCAGCCACAACACCGACGGCCCTGTCGAAGCGAACTCGGCAATGCTTCGCTTTCGCAATGTATTAAATACAGTTCAAGTTCAAAATCAATTTTAATGAATATCAATAAATGCGCATTAACGACACTTACGTTATGCAAAAACTACACTTAAACTACGTATGGACTACGCTGAACTAAGAATGAACAACTATTTATCTAAGTATGAACTACTCTTTAACTAACTATAAACTACACTTTAACTACGTATTAACTACACCTTTCTACTCTACACATTAAAAACAAAATATTCGAATAATGTGCCTCGTTAGCATTTGATTCAGACTACCTGCTTTCTAGATCTCAACTTGGATGTTATTCGATATTATGAGTGAAAGTGAGGCACGTGGTTCAAACAGACATTCATTAATCGCACATCTCGCAAGGTCCTGGAACTGCGATGAGCCCACCTCATCTATTAATTTTGAAAAACAACGCCCCCACAAGTCCGGTTTAATCCAAACCATTCTTTAAATGTTCCCAGTAGCAATAAGAACAAAGTGTAAACATTTCAGTAAAATCGGTCGAGTATTTTTGGTGTCTATATACGACAGACTTTCCCTTTTCTTTATGTATAGATTGGTTTTGACTATTTAATTATTGCAATGCAAGTATGTAATTATATAATCTGGTTGACCTCACCAGTGCCATTTCGTAGCCATTGCTGCAGGTGGCGAGTGGCGCACTTGGCGCAGTCGAGGGGGTTGGCGCCGAGGTCGACGAGGCGCAGCGGGCGCAGGGCGCGCAGCATGGTCGCTGTCAGCGCCGTCAGCTCCGTGCGCGACAGGTTGACGGCTGCGCGGGGCCCCAGCGCCGCGAACGCGTGCGCGCCCCACTCGCCGCGCAGCGGGTTCCCGCTCACGTCCAGCAGCGCCGCCCCGCCGCCCTGCGCTGACAGCGCCCCCGCCGGCGACGACAGCGCATTGCGCGACAGGTCGAGCAGCTGCAGGCGCGCGCCCGGCCACAGGCGGAGGCCCGGAGGCTGCGTCAGCCTGCACCCTGACAGGTCCAGCACCTGCAGAAGAACATGTGTTTGCAATATCTATTCAAGCCCGGACGAATCACTGAAACTGGCAGGAAACACAGTGAAAAGGGATGCGTCAGACTGCTTCACCGCTGGGTTCGCTACCTCCAGAAATGACAGAATGTGTCAGACCATCAAAGTAGAGTTGTCTACGAAAGATTCGCAGATGTCCAGTTTTTGCTGTTTATGCCATCTACCATACCCAATACAGAAGGGGACGTCAGCCTGCATCCCCGTAGGTATAGCTGCAGGAGGCAGAAAAAGACACTCATTGAGACATAGAAAGAAAGAATGAAAGAGAAAAAGAAAGAGGATAAGAGAGATCATTATTGCAACATTCACACTGATCCAGCAACTGTTTATGCAATTGCTGGATATAATTCAACACACTCATTCAAAAATACTAAGGAATGAGGATGGTCGATATACGAAAGTTTTTACGTAGATTAAGTGCTTTATTTTATGAAAAATTTGTTTAAATGACGAAAACGAAATGGCTGTGTTATTATTGTTATCCCAAATATTCACCACTATACATTTTTTATTAAATACTTTTTATTAACAACTCCTATAATAGTCACGATCGTCGACCATCATAAATTACACATTTCTACAACCCACATATTTCAGAAAATAGATATCAGGACAATTAAAATTCGAAAACAAACTAAAATGAAATGAAATAAAATATTTATTTCAGGCGGTTAGCAATATGAATATGTATTCGACCAGATTTTGATAAATAAAAGTATCTATTCGATCCTAACTCATCACACACACGCCGGTAGATGATACATTGTATCAGACACATTGTTATAGTACGTGAGAAAATGTAATCAATGAGACGCATTCAGTTCAAGCGCCACGTGGTCTGAAGAGGGAGGGCGTTAGGTACTGTACCTGCAGCGAAGGGAGCTGCTCAACGAAGTCGCTGGGGACGGCCGCGAGGGGGTTGTTCGCCAGGCGCAGGGTGTGCAGCCTTCGAGCCTTCCTGAGCAAGCAACGAGCACCTGCCGACGCAACGTCGGATATGTTGCAAGTACTCACGTCGAGAACCTCCAACTGCGGATACTGAAAACAAAAACGTCACTTACTGGTCAAGAATGATCTCAACATTTTAATGAGAGATAATACGAATGTGACTAGGGGCGCATTACCCTTACCTTTACCCGCAGAGCAAAATGCAAATATTAGTTCAAAACTCCTTATCACATTTTAATTCATATAATTATTTACACTTCCGGTGATGCAACATATTCACAAAAAAATGAACACTGAATTATATTGAACATTGTAATGTCAATATTTGAAAATACAAAATCAACATTTTCATCAGACAAAAATATGCCTCTACTGTATCTTGTAAGTATGATTCAATTAGAACAGTTTAACTGATCTATTGTAAGCAATTTGTACTCCAATTACATGTGAAGGATCCTAACTGGCATTGTTTAGTGAGTGCCTCAGCTCTTAAAACCACTGGTTCCGTAAGTGTAGTGCATTTTTTATCGCGGGCGGGGCTGTGATTTTCCCACACAAGACAGCAAGGTCCAGAGACGATCTACAAGCCGGTTCGCGCGGTTTTTTCCAACTAGATATCTCTCATCAGGGGGAGAAAATTGGCAATTCAGTCCCATCTGTACGAGGACAAAAGCAATCGTTGCCATTCAACATATATATGATTGGACTACATTGCCTTAACTTCTCTCCAACATGATGTGGCGTCATACGGGTGTAATCGAACACAGACTAGAGTGGTCTGTAAAACAGTAGATTTATTAACAATCTAGACCGTAGTTTCAAGTTAACAAATACCCTGCTCACAATAAACTAAATAAATAGACCCACTACAAGGAGAGAATTTAAGAACAGCTACCACACCGCAACATACCACCGATGTTCCCTGTATGAAGCCGCCCTACTTTGAGACCATCTACGCGTCTCGCAAGTCACGACAATGAATTGCCGGCCCCTCGCCCTAGTGCACCTACACGCACAGACACGCGCTTCACCTGTCTCCAACGCCGCTAGAACAAGAAGACTGGGGCATTGTTCTCCTGGCCTTCTATAGGCCCTTTGGCTCTACCCGCCGCCCCCATTGCCTCCTCCCCAAAGCCGCTCTGGGCCCGCTACGTCCACGGAAAGTCCCAGTGCGTCATTACTCCGCCCTTTGTTTAACATCCGTCGGTTTGAGCGTTGCACGACGCTACAATGGCTATTACGTTTACGAAAGAACTCTGTATATGTTCTCGTCTCTAAAATGTGTCTTTGAAGTTTGATGAAGATTTTCAAAAAAAAGTCTTAAATGTTCTTAACAGTCAAACCTTTTGTTTTATAAACTGTCCTTTAAATAAATCTCTTTAAAACAGGAAACAGACGTAGTAGACACAATATGGTATTGGTATATTTACATTTTCTTTTCACTGTTACGCACCTTTTAAATTAATCATTCTCCATTAAGCTACGTGAGAAAAACATTCATTACTTTTTAGCAGTCTTATTGATTACATATTTAATTTAAAAGACTTAGTTTCAGTTAAATTTGGCAATAAATTCCTTTCTAATATAAACCTCAAGTCAATTAACTTGGAGATATTTTTGGACCACATTGTTTTGGGGATTAATCACATAATATCAACAACAACAAAAAAAATTAAAAACACGCTAAAAGACTTGATGCTGACCAGGGCGCGTCCGGCTGCCGTGGGCGGCTCGAGAGGTTCCTCGCGCGGGACCAGCGGGTCGAGGCCGGGCAGCGGCGTGCCGGACAGGTTGAGCACGCGCAGCTGCAGCAGCGGCCGCAGCGCCGGCATCAGCCGCGGCGCCGCCAGCGGGTTGTGCGACAGGTCCAGCACACGCAGCCCTCGCAGCAGGCTCACGCCGCCCGGCACGGACGCCAAGTTGTTGTAGGAGAGGTTCAGGTGCTGCAGATTGGGCATCCTCTCGAAATTCACTGAAACGAAAACAACGCTCGCAACTGCGCTGCTGGAATCGGTACCCTGTCCAATTCTTACGTTTATGCGAACCGGGTAAGAGACATCGTTACTTGTGTTCTTGGGAATTTGATCGCTTTTGATATTTTTGGCGACTACCGAGTATACGCACTACTTTATCAAAGAAATTATTTGGCCAAAGATCTCCGTCACAGAAAAAACCCTTCATGCACTATGGATTTTCAACTAAAAAGATTACGAAATAAAGATATTTTCGATACAAAATGTTTAAATTCATTCTAATTGGCAATATAGTGTATTATTTCATTTAATTGATAACTTCCTTCGCTTTACTAGAGAAAATAGGATATAAGAGAGCTACATATAGGTTTATAACTTACTTGCATTGCCAAAAGACTGACATGGGCCAGGTGCCTACTAGAGCATCGCCTTTCGAAACTAATTTGTAAACCCTTCCTTTTAAATCTCGTACCGTTTCACTAATGGGGGCGAGTGGCCACTCCTTTTTAAAGGCGTGAGCCCGCTGCTCCGTACATGTGCTGAAGGGAAGGTGGCGAGTGAGCCCGCTGCTCCGTACATGTGCTGAAGGGAAGGTGGCGAGTGAGCCCGCTGCTCCGTACCTGTGCCGAAGGTGGCGAGTGAGCCCGCTGCTCCGTACCTGTACCGAAGGTGGCGAGTGAGCCCGCTGCTCCGTACATGTGCTGAAGGTGGCGAGTGAGCGCGCTGCTCCGTACCTGTGCCGAAGGAGGCGAGTGAGCCCTCTGCTCCGTACCTGTGCCGAAGGTGACGAGTGAGCCCGCTGCTCCGTACCTGTGCCGAAGGTGGCGAGTGAGCCCGCTGCTCCGTACCTGTGCCGAAGGTGGCGAGTGAGCCCGCTGCTCCGTACCTGTGCCGAAGGTGGCGAGTGAGCCCGCTGCTCCGTACCTGTGCCGAAGGAGGTGAGGCCGTTCCTGGAGAAGTCGAGGGCGCGCAGGCGCCGAAGGGCGACCGGGAGGATGTCTGCGCCGTCCCAGCGCTCGCCGCCGTGCACCTCCAGCTCCTCCACCGCCGCGCCCTCCCGCAGGTAGCCCAGTAGGAAGTTGGCCAGCGTCATGTAGGCCGGGTTGAACTCCATGATGACACGCCACGCGCGGTTGAAGTACAGGTCTACTACGCCCACCCGTTTCGTGTACGCGATGACCCACACTTCCGGTTTGCACGTGTCGTTGGGTTGCGGATGTGTCAAAGATGATCTGTGGAAATGAAACCGAGTAATGACAATCGAAAAATGAACTAGAAATACCTTTTTTTGGACACTAACTTCAGAAAATGTATTTCTAGAATATCTAAACCATTTTGCAACATTTGAGATTTCATGCTAGAAGTGAATTGAATTGTGTTGTGTTGTGTTTCTTGTTGGTTGCGTTCCAACATTGATACATTTGATAGCTTGGAATGTTCTCGGTTGAGTACGGAACTTAAGTGTTTTTCGTGATCGCCAAATAGGTTTTTTCATCGTTTCCAAGAAAAGTGACATATTTTTTGTCCATTATGATTTTCACCGGAATATTTCTCAAATGGGAAAACTTTATCAATGCTGTGAATTGGTGGAAAGTTGTGCCACTACTACTGAAATGTCTAATGATGCAAAGGTATGATGACTGCAAGAAATCTGCAAGGAAATATTTTTAGGTAAGATTCGTCACTTTTCTTAACACTTAATTTGTTGTACAAATGTAAATTTTCAATCTGGTGTTATTAGAGCGTAACATTAAGAATACCTAGGGAGAATACGCATTTGTAAAAAGTTACCACAAGTTGAAAACTGAGGCCAATACAGAAATTCAGGTATTATATCTGAATTGAGGAGCAAATTATCTTCCAGAAACTGTGTTTTGTTCTTATTAGAGAAAAAAACAATTTGCAGACAAGTATAATTTTGAATTTGCGAGTAAGGAGCAGCCACTTTCTAATTAGCAACCGGTCAACACTAACTCTCCCGCCTAATAAAGAGACTCCCATTTCACACGTTTCTTCAATATCTCTACATTATGTTCGGGTTTGACATCAGGTTAGAAAATTTCTTGCATTCACCTTCCTCACCAGTCGCATTCTGTACTATACCCGCCCTCTAACGTATGTTTCAAGAATTTTCCTCGCAACTTCCTTGGTTGAAGTTGGTATCGGATAATGAAATCACAATGAGGGAGGTGACAAGAAGTTACCTCGTTTCTCACTTTCCTGATACAAATCTACTCGGTCGATCAACTCGCGGGTGAACGCTGTACTATCTCTCAATGTAAAATAAAATTGAATGAATAAAAGTTGTCTGCCTGGAGTGAAGGCTTTAGCAGTTGAAACCCTCCAGTCGGCAATGAAGGACGGGGTACTCACGCGCAGTTGCGGAAGTCGGAGCGCAGCGCGCCCTTGGCGCCGATGGCGTCGGGCCGCAGGTCCAGGCGGATGGCGCGGAAGCCCTGCGAAGAGCGAAACATCGACTCAGCGAGTCTTCGATGCATCACCAAAATATTGTCGGTCGATGAAAACATCAACAAAAATCAACTCTTAAAATATCGATGAAACATTTCGAAGTAAAATCGCCTATTTCTAATGTGATACATAACACGTTAATGTTAGTATAACGTACATTTTGCCTCAAATGTGACTGTTAGAAGAGTTTTGCCTGATTGCAAAATTTCCTAATGAATTTTCAATGTAGTCACGGTTGAAATTGCAGTTTAACGATATTACCACGTTCGAAATAATAAGAAAAGGTACCAACACTGCAAAAAGGTTGCGAATAGCAAACGGTTTCGTGCCTCCTGTGGATTGACAATATTGAAAGTTGTAAACGGTTGTTGATTGTGAGCAATCCACAAATTAAATAAATACAGGAAATTTTATTACCAACTTGGGAATTGTTTAAAGATGGATGATTCCGAACTAGTATACCTATCTAAAGAGAACACGGATGCTTTAGAAGCGGCGGTCACCTGCGAGACGAGCGCCAGCAGCGTGTCGCCCTCGCGTCTGTGCGCGCCGCGCTCGCTCTGCGCCGCCTGCAGCAGCGCCTCGTCCGCGCTGACGGGCACGCCCGCGGGCAGCGCGTCCACCTTGCGCAGCTCGAAGCGCGTCTGGAAGGCGCACCAGCCGCCGGCGGGCCCAGGCGCGTCGCCCACGCGCGTCGACGTCACCTGGTAGGTGGCCCTGCAACGCACGCGCACGCACCGACCTAAGAATTGCACAGCGGTTGCAAAGAGGTTCAGCAACCAGAACATGTCCTCTCCCCCTCTCGGGAGGGAATTTCACCATTTGATACTGTTGGACCATTCTGTTATTTCAAGCAGGATGGAAAGTAATTTGTTCAGGGGATAAACTGAGCCCCAAAATTACATTTAATCGCCTTTCATTTTTCCTAATTCATCCACCTGAATTAATTACTTGAGTCACGATGTTGCGGTAGTCGATTAGATAAGATATTTGCAATCTAAACAAAGAACCGAACAATATATCAATTCATTGATGTAATTGAATCTGACAAATACGCATTGTGCGCCATGATCTCAATATGCTTGTGGCTAAATGCTGCGCAAAATTGGATATTTCCACATTTCTCGTCTTAATTGATGCCAAATTCGCTTAGCAAAGGAACGACGTTAGGCACGAACAAATACTACTGATTCCCGGCAGTGTAAAACTAAAAAGAATTCAACACGTTTAATCAAAATTATTGGTTTTGTCACATTTCCAATACAAAATAGTGATATGAGTTTTACTTATCATCTAAAGGTAGTAGCATGCATTTATTTACACCTTTTCTCCCCACCCCACACTAAACCGTGGACAAAATGGCTACTCCATTTAATATGGATTTAGAATTATGCTAACCTCAACCTTGCATATTTTACCTCGTTACCTGAGTAAGTATTATCTTCACTGAAATAAATCATTTATATTTTAAAATACATTGTATTAATTTAACATTTGTTCGTTTTGGATAATAATTGTGCTTGTTTTGTACCACTGAAGATGGGGAAAATTCACAAAACTAGTTTGGTCTAATATGTGTATTGGTATGTTTGATACATAATTTGTTAAATACACCATTTGTACTTCATTCATCGTGGTCTGTTTACCTCTACCATTCATGTATAATCTGGAGCTGGGATCGCCATAAGTCGATAGCGATCGACCGGTCGGTCATGATGATATTTTCAGACAAGTAGCGAATTATGCAGACTTACACAGACCGTTCAGTGTTATACTGACAGGACAAAGGGAATGAGAGAGAGAGAGGGAATGAGAGAGAGGGAGGGAGAGGGGGAGAGAGAGGGGGGAGAGGGGGAGAGAGCGCGAGAGAGAGAGCGCGAGAGAGAGAGCGCGAGAGAGAGAGCGCGAGAGAGAGAGCGAGAGAGAGCGCGAGAGAGAGCGCGAGAGAGAGAGCGAGAGAGAGCGAGAGCGAGAGAGAGCGAGAGAGAGAGAGAAAGAGCGAGAGAGAGAAAGAGCGAGAGAGAGAGAGGAGGTGCGGCGGGTAGGTACGCTGAAACTGCTATCGCCCGTAGACTTAACGCGACCCCCACCACGGGAATGGCTCGGCTGCGAGAAAGTGCGGAGTCCCACTTCGGAGCAGTCGCAGCAGGTTAACGCTCCATCTCAAGAGCCTGTCCTGCCGCCTGAGCCTCCATCGCTACTAGAGTCTGGATTATTAAGCAATTACAGAACTGGTCTGTTTTTCAATGGCAAATCGCAGTCTTGGAAAATCAGAGCAATTCTAATACAATTCACAAATTTTTCGTTGCAATTTTTTTTATATATTCTGTACTATATAACACAATTTACATTCTGCATTTTTTTCTATTTGGTACTCTGCTGATTTTCTTGAAATGTATTTCGCAAGAAATATTTTAATTAATACTCAGCAATGTTTTTTTTCAAATATCGGCATATTTTCATCTTACAAGTATTCGGAATTGCGCACTGGCGACCCCAGTGCCACATGTGAAGTGGCGGACAGGTGCACGCGGGGTGTTCGGGTTAACCTCCGCCTCCACTTCACACATTTTGCGACAAGTGAGTGTGAGCGCAGACAATATTATTTCGATATGAAAAGCGCAATGGCGGCGTGTTTCTTGAGATTCCAAATTACAGAGAGCTGTTGATGGTCGCAGACCGGTATCACTCGAAGACCATGATTGTTTGAAGTATTTGAGTCCACGTTTGAACAAAGGCTGCCATTGCTCTCAAAGATAAAAACAATTCTCTTAAAAATTTAATCCGGTAGGACAAGCAATATTTTTAAAATTGGTTTTAAAAATTGTATTAACGTTATTTCAAATCTTGTAAATTTATTTTGTTATTTTGTGAATGGTTTGCAAGTTAGATCGTCATTCGACGTTACATATTCTATCCCTTTTTACAAATTTACGTAATGACTTTGTCGTTGCTACTTATTTCTGCGGACTCTACTTCATCACCGACACAGTCACCGCCACCACCTCCGTCGCCTCCGCCGTCTGGTGACCCCGAAGCGAGACGCACGCGGCATTTTGGATGGCGGGGTTTCCCGGGCGGGCCCACGCAGCAGTTCGGCACGGGCACGGGCGTTCGCGCCACCCGGACATTGCGTCGGCCTCCCGGCGCTCTCCTCGAGCACTCCCAAACATATCACTCCCACTATTTATGGCGATCACACTGCACACGTTTGTGGTGGCATCTGCTCCGCTCTGGGCTTGTGGTTTCGAAGCTCGCTTAAGACAGTAATGATTTCACTGTGTGACTGTGCTACAGTAGTTAAGGGAAATGATCATGTATCCCTTGTAATCATTTATATTACCATTCATTACTTAATATTTTTAAGTTACACTTCAGTACACATGTTTGGTGTAAACATTCAGCAAGGGATCTGGTAATAAAGAAGTTATTATTAGACGGCGCAGAAAAGAAATAACGTTACACTGACAGTTTTTACGATTTAATAAAGTAAGCATATTCTGGAAAATAACTTATATGTGATGTGTGAATTCGTTTCTGTTACTTGAAATTCTATTTCATAGAATATCAGAGGAATTTCATAAATAGTATGTTATACCTCAGGCAATAATGAGCATTTGCACGAAAAATTATTCAGAAAATTCACAAAATTGTTGAAAACTTCATTCAAAAAACATTTTCTAACGGGCATGTAATTGCAGTACATTATACATAGAAAACCATTTGAGTCAATCAAATATTATTACTTAAATCATAGGAAATTGGGATAAATGTCAACCTGTTCAAATTCATTCAAGACCTAACAGAAGAGAGTCACACACGTAAGAGTAAACGTAAGCCAAGCAGATAAGAAAATAAAGAATGAAATTCCATAAGGTTCTGACATGAGTGTTACACTCCTTTCTTGGCAAATAATGATGCTGATGTTAATGTCGCCCCCCCCCCATTATTACACGGAAATATGCAGACGACATTACTGTCTTCAGGAAAGGCAGACATGCTCACTTAAGTCAAATGATAATGTAATCTGCATTAAAGAAATTTGTTTCAAATTCAAAAATATTAGAGATGTTATTTGATGCAAAATGACTTGGAAAACCATTTTAAACGTAGCTTAAAGGAAGAGACTAAACTTTTTAAAACGTCCATTCTGTAACACCCGGAGAGCTGATAAAACCATATTACTACTAATCTACAAAGCAATGACTCTTTCCAAATCAGGCTATGGCACTGAAATCGATGAATCCGCCAATAAAACTAAACTCACGAAACTTGTCTCAATCCACATTTAAGGTTTCACTTAACATTTATAAATAAACCAAAGAATGTTCACTATTTTTAAAGCCCAGTTAGAAGTATTTTGATGGCGATAATTTTAAATAAATTCTAGTACCTACATTTTATCAAGAAAAGGTTATCAAATTTTGTAAAGCGCTCAATGTCATTAATGAATTATAAATTATTTTTTTGTACCCTTTCGTGAAAACTCGTCTATACGAACCATGTAATTCACTCTAAGAATAGCAATCCAACGCCATTCTCTTACAATGGAATGTATTGCTTTATATGACAAAATTATTTTATGTAAGGAATTGTAAAGTACTGGTTGGTATTTATGAAATTAATTAGTTTAAGTTCAACTATCTATTGCAATCCAATGCATGTGCCAATAATGTTATTATCACTGTAACATACATTAGTCACTTATTCACCTCAGTAGTCAAAGCGACTTTAAATAAATAAATTTAAGAATACTAATGATGCTACAGAATGGCACAGACGTTATCGTACAATTTAGTTTTCTAATCTTTATACTCTAGACTAGCTTATCGGTTTTACCCTACCCTTTTCCCAGCTGCAATGTATTACCGCCCAAAGAATGTTTTTTCTCACATTTTCTCAAATTCTCCATCTCATAGGGGTAGAACTTAAACATGACTTTAAGAATAATATAGAAGACTTAAAACTGGTCATGTGTGCAAATTTTCGTTGAAAAATTTTGTGCGTATTTTCAGAAATGTTTGTGTGAGCGTTTCGGAAAATGCGCCGTTTTCATCTCTTTTTTACAAAAAACGTTAGAGTTTTCGAGTAACCATTGGTAATTATTATAAGCACTTTTTTGCGCAAAAGCAAATGTGTAGACAAATCTCGAGTTATGTAAATATTACAATACTATTTTTCAAAATATTTACATTACCACGGCAATAAATCTTCACAGTTAACAGCAAAAATGGGACCTACGCCATCAGCAGTTTTCACTCTGCTCTTGCAAGAAATTTAAAGAAAAAAATTAGAGCCCTTTTTGAGAAAATATTGAAAATGTCCCAGAGGCTTTGCTAACTACCCTCAAAACTTAATGAATGTTTTTCAAACTCGCAGAGCATTGAGTCGGGCCAGATCGATTAATCCCAATTCATTTGGGGGAAAATTCTAAGAATAGTTTACGCGTTACGGATGTTCACCGACGGACAGACTGACAGATAGAGGCAGACGGACGGACCGATACAAACGCACAGACAGAGACAGACAGAGACAGACAGAGACAGACAGAGACAGACAGAGACAGACAGAGACAGACA